AGAACCCTCACCTCCTCTCTGGCTGTGCGAACATGCACGTCTGTAGACCTCTCTACGTCTTTATCCATAATAGCCCTGTTCTGTTCAGGCCTGTAGCCCATTGACTGAGACATCAGCGATGAGTGAACTCCCCCAGAGTTGTCAGGAATTGCAGAGGAAGCTCCGGAAGAACTGAAGCTGGACCCAGGTCCAAAATTAGATGCTCTCCAAGGGTCTCTCTCTGTCTGTGTACTGGGAAGTCCATACTGCCCCTGGGTAGAACTTTGGCTCCCATGGGCATAGGGGTTGTACAGGGGATTGGACATTGTGTTTGCAATCTTCAGAAGGTTAAGGAGATTGATGGCTGCAGCAGTCGGGGAAGGAGGCGTTGTAGATATGTAGGAAGCAGGTTTGTTGGGGTTTGCTGTAAAGGTTGCGGTTCGGCTGCCAACAGCGAGAGCGTTGTTTATCTGCGTCAGTGCTAGCTGGGCTTTCAGTTGAGCCAACCGCAAGGAGGCAGCCTGCTGGCCAATTAGGAAAGAGCTCCCTGGGAGCCCTCCAAGTAGAGGGCTCGTTAGGGGCCCTGGAGCAGGAGAAGGGGCACAATGCTCCGATAGTAATGCAAAGCTGAAAAGTTAAAAAACAAAAGAAGGGGTTATTGAATGGGACTGGACTTCATCTTCTTGGATAGATAAAAATCCATCATCTGGAAGGTCGTGTCTTGAGTCCACTCTGATGCTTCCCGTTGGATACACATTCATTCCGTCTATTTCGCTTCCTGGTCTTCACTAGCAAGAAAAAACAGAGGAGGCAAAAGCAACAAAGCACAGATAAAGAGAGAAAACAAGGTCACTGCTGTTAACAGGAAACATCCAGAAACACAAACTAATGTATTTCCTTTCCATGCTCATGTTTGAAACAGTTGAGGTTTGGTATCAGCAGACAGACAAAGCGCATTGAAAATTTGAACATCTCACAATTGCAATTTCCAAGGTCACAATAGATCATACCGGAAGATTCAGACGAGCCTGAAAACGGTGCAAATAACTCTGGTAGTGGAATAAATGAGACAGAACTACAAGTATGACTGTACTCGCAATGGGTTGGACAAAGCTACTTCGATTGATTCCAATAAATAGATAAGTTAACAAGTTGTGTTGTTCAAAAAAGGGATGAAGCGGTTCAAGTAAAAAATCTAAGTTGTTTGGTTTATTCGTCACGGGCCGGGCATGAATTATTGGCTTCATTTAAAACAGGCTAGGAGGTCAAAAAGGCATGCAAAGAAAATAACTTTAAATAAAATTGCTGGGGGGAAAAAAGCCAGTGACACATGTAAGTTGGCATGGATCAAGTCTAGAGTGCAGCTGTCAGTCAGTCTTGGCAAGTGGACAAGACAAAGTAGCCTACAATTAGAGGATCTGCCAGCATCGTTTCGGTCTGCTGTATGTATGAAAATGGCGGGAAAAAGCAGTGGATAAAACGGCAACTGTGTGCAAACGATGCGCGACAAGTGTTGCAAGGATAGCATGGTTTCTTTATTAAAGTTTAGGGTTTGGCCGGATAATTAATTGGGGTCACCAGCCAGACGGCCGATAAACAATGTGAAATCATAGCGTAGGGCTGTTTTTTTT